GAATTTCTCTTGGGTGCCCTTCTTGCTGGCTTTCTTTTACAAGTGAATTTATTTATCCAATCAGATATCTCTTGGTGTGTTCCAGGATCCTTAATTCCACTTCAGTGAACTAAATAACTACCTCTAAAATTAATTATGCTGTTTCTTTTTAGCAAGATGACTTCTGTTTTCCACTTACTAGTAAAACCAACTTTTGAATCATAAACATCTTCAGAGTACTGACTTGTGTAGTAGACTTAAGTGTGATGAAGAGTGTGGAAGGGCAGGAAGGACCTTGGAGTGGGTGGCCTCGGTGTCAGACGCCCCAGTTCACCTCACGCAGTGCCAGTGTCCCCTGGAAAATAATCTTCAATGACTTTTCAGGGTTGTAATTATAGTTTAAAATGTACAGCACTCACTGCTACATGGTAGCTTAATAGTCTATCTTTACTTCTTCTTAAGAAGCTCTGGTGGCCCTGTCCATTAAGTGTCAGGCTGCTGAACGCAAAGTTGATGGTTCAAACCCACCAGTCCCCCCCAGGAGAGAGGATCGGGGTGTCTGTACCTGGAAAGGTGCACAGCCTCAAACCCCAATGTGAGTTGGAATTAACCTGATCCCAGTGGGTTTGCTTGTGGGGTTAGTTATTATTACTCTCTTACTATACTGCAGCATGCCCCTCTGTAATGCTTCTCCAAACTGCAGCTTTCAAATCACAGGGAGGTTGTGAAAATCACGTGCACAATTTGGAAGTAAAATTAGAATTTTTTAGAGAAAAAGAACTGAGTAGTACTGAATATATTAGAGCATGTCAGACCTAATAAGGGAAAGGATTTGAATAAGGAGGTTGTGCTCAGTGTATAGCATATTGGCAGGGAATTATATGTATGCAGAAGCACATTGTGAAATGCTTTTCTTCTCATAAATGGCAATAAAAATCCTGTAACCAAAAATATTCTGTATTATGGAATTCATGTCCCTGAAAGTATATAAAGCTCCTTATGCTATGGTGGCTTAAACACCTCGCTTCAAATACAAACTCCATTAGTTATTACTTTATGACTTTGGACAAATTCTTAAACTTTCTGCCGATGCCTTCATTTCCTCATCTGTGGAACAGAGCAGTAGTTATACTTGCTTCATGGGCTTAGTGTAAGACTAGATGGCTAAGTTGATTTCAATCAATAACTTAAACAGAATATACACTAGTGGATGTATACACTAGTATATAGATAAGTTATTCATCATTAGCTGCCATGTTCTTAACACTTGGCTAAAATACGAGCGCTTTCCCTGAGCCATCAGTGTCACACACGCTAAGGAGTAGGAGAGAAGACAGTCCTCTAAATGTTGGCTATTTAGCAAAGGTCTTATTCGTACAGTATTTTAGGTCATTCAAGTTACATGTTAAATGCTTCATGTTCTATAATAAGCTGGTATAATATAAGACATATTTAACAACCAAAGTGATATAAGTACCCAACCATCAGCGTGGATGTAAGTTAAAAGCAATTCGTGTAGTGATGTGCAGGTTACTGCTGAATAGAAGAAGTAATGCCCCACTTGCAAAACTGAAAAAAAAAATTGAACATAGCTAGAGATTACGCCTTTAATTTAATGCTAGAACTACTGTATCTCGCCATCTTTACTTTACTACTAAATCCCACAATAAACCATGAGGTCTTAAATATCCTGAACTCCTATACAGTGATAAGAATCAATGCATATATCCTACCTGGTGCTGTCGTAGCAGGACAAAGCTTCCTTCAGTTTGTAAATTAATGCCTACTAATGTCCCATAAATATTTATATCTGTGTGTGCATATATCTCTTAGTCTGCTTGCACACACAAAATATAAACATTATTTTCAAAAACAAAAATTTCATCTAACTTGGGCCAGTAGTACAAAGGGGATTGCTAATATTTTTCAGAGAAATGAGCTCCTAGGTAAAGACAAATTAGAAAATCAGGGTACATCTCTGGGGAATGATTTCAATTCAAATCAATAAAGTGTTTGTACATTCTGGAAAACTCTAGGGCTGCTAAGTACTATTAGGATAAATGGTGGGTGGATGAATGGACAGACAGAGCAAACTGACATGGTAGACACTGTGCTAAGTTCCTTGCATAGAATATCTCACTGAATCCATGTAATTCTGCCATTGAGGCCACGCTGGCTCATAGCAAGCATACATCGGGTTTCTGTAAACCCTCACGGAAGCAGACAGCCTCATCTTTCTCCAGCAGCGCAGCTAGTGAGTGTAGACTGCCCACCGCGCCACTGGCAGCCCAGCGCCTATCCCACAGCACCCACAGGGCTCCTTTCAACATTCATGGATACCTGCACTTTAATCTTTACTATGATATTAGTGCCTGCAAGCAGAAAAGTCAAAGGGCCCCCGGCGGCACACTGTTGAAGTGCTAGGATGTCCACTGAAATCTTGCCACGTCCCACCACACAGCTTCCCCATGCAGGAAAGACCAGGAATGTGGGTCCTGTCAAGATTGGAGCCTAAACATCACATGGTGCAGCTCTCGTCTGGCACCTTGGGTTACCCTGGCTCAGTACCTGAAGAAGACATGGTGGCACAATAGGTTACCCCTTCAGCTGCCAGCCATAAGGTCAGCAGTTCAAACCCACAGCTCCCTGAGGGGGACCTGTGAGCCTGTGTGCTCCTGGAATGATTTGGGGCCTTAGAAACCCTCAGGGGCTGGCCTACTGCCCCCAGAGGGTCCCTGTCATTCATTTGCTGTGGTTTTGCATGAGCCAAAAGCAGACTTGACAGCACACAACGACTGTGGGAAATCCAAAACTTAATCAATATTGGAATTTAAAATGATTATCTGACCATTATTGGTGGGACTGCAAACTAGTACAACTGCTGTGGGGGGGTGGGGGGGTACAGTTCCTCAAACATTAAAGGTATATATGGCCTCGAAATCATAATCCTGGATAGACACTGAAAAGAATTGAAATCAGGAGTGCTTAGCGAGTCTGTAAACTAATAATGTTTGTTTCAGGGGTATTTACAACCTAAATGCCTACCAAGAGATGCTGGAAGAGCAAAGTGTGATCTATGCAATTGCCTGTTACTCAGCCATAAAGAGAATGAAGTGCTGATACTCAACCTAAATGAACCCTGAAAACAGTTTCATACGGAAACCAGGCAAATACATAGCTGCTCACACTTGTTAAAAGCTCTGAGAGTGGGTAAAGGGGATGAAAAAAGAAAGCCATTGCTTAAAGGGCATTGAATGTCTGTTCATAGTGCTGGTAACATTTGGGGAAAGGGTGGAGCTAATAGTTACACAACATGATGAAGGTAACCATTGTCATAGATTTATACATATAAAAATGGTTGAATTTGCAAATGTTTTCTTATGTGTACTTTTCCTATAATAAAAATAAAGCTATAGAAAGAGTAATAGATAGAAATGCCCCCTATGAGTTTCCAAGGCTGTAACTCTTTATGGGGGCAGAAAGGCGTATCTTTCCCTTACAGAGCCTCTGATAGCTTCAAACTGCTTAATGCAGCCTAACGCATAACCATTCTGCTACCAGGGCTTCAAGATTTATCAGACAAGGGAAAAATTGATTATGCATATGAATAAGCCTTAGCCTTGATCTCATTCCAGAAGGTTTAAAATCTCTAAACTTTGATTAAGACTATCATAAGAATCCCAAACATCTGAGATTATTCTACTTTCAAATGTGCTTTCCCCAAACATATGAGTATGCATAATCAATTCACAGAAGTTTTGAATATAGAAAAGCCTCCTCTCTTTTGTTGGCAATCTCCATTTCTTTGCAGATCAAAAAGGCTTTATGGGTGTATCAACCTTCCTGCCAAGACTATGATGTTCCTACTGCCCTTGCTGCTTTTATTTATCCCCACTCAGTATCATGTTGACTCTTTCAATAGCATAGCCCGAAATCTTAAATTATACAGTCAAATTATTAAAGTGCAGAATAGTTTTACATTGGGGAATGGCTTCATTTTTACCTCTCTCGATAGCCTTCACTACATTTACAGAGCACTTAACTTATAAATTCACTAAGAAATCTCTAGCAAGGGTAGGCTCCTTATAGATGAAGGTATCAAGAGGTTAGATGCCTTGTCAAAATTCATTTTGCCAGTTAAAAGGATTAGAATGCTTCTGATCTCAGGATTAAAGTTTCATTGACTGCTTTAAGGAATAGGTCTGTTATTTTGGGTTGGTTTTTTTTTAACATTTTAGAGCTAGACTTTCTAAATAATTATTTAGTGAAGCAAATAAGAGAATAAAATTAAATAAAAGAATAATTCAACAGGTAAGTTATGTATTCATTAGCCTCATCAGTGCCTTGATATATATAATCAATCACGCCACATTTACCGTCTTACCTCCCAGAAAGACAAGTGAATTATTGATCAGAGTATTGTCTAAGGTAAATGTCAAAAAAAAAAAAGTGTGGCAGTTATACCTACCATCAATAAATGAGATTCAAAAATCATTTTATAAACCACATTCATGATAGCTTAGTAGTGCATCAATGTTTAAATAGGATAGTTTATAGCCATCTTTGAAGTCCACTAACATTTTCAATGTATGGCATTATTTATCCACATTTCCAAGACAGATAATGATCTTTTTTTCCCTTTTAGGAAACATGGGGAGTTTGGGGTTTAGAGTGTGTATGTTGTCAGGAAATGCTTTATACACATTTAAGTCAGAAATGGGCTAATGGTTAAATCTACATGCCAAATAATGGGCTGTATAAATAACTAATAGATGGCAGTTATATAGTATTGTTGGGAGAGAATGCTATGCAGCAACCGCGTCTGGTCTTACCTTCTGGGGAGGACTCTCCACTGTGGTTCCATAAATATTTCATGAACCAACATAAAGTAATATGCTAATGACAGGCTATTTACCCCGGGAGCAGGTGCACTCTCGGATGCTTTTTCATCTTCGGTACAGCTTTGATGTGCATCAGTTAAGCCATTTTGAATTGTTCTTTCTTTGCTTCCCTGCCCTCAGATTCACCTGGACCTACGATGGTGAGCGAGAGTCATCACGAGGCCCTGGCAGCTCCGCCAGTCACCACAGTTACGCCTGCTCTAGTGAATAATGCCACTGAGCCGGCCAGTCCCGGGGAAGGAAAAGAGGATGCGTTCTCTAAGCTGAAGGAGAAGTTTATGAATGAGTTGCATAAAATTCCATGTAAGTATTAAAGTATTATTAAAGTGAGAATAATTGGATGAGATTCAAAGAATGCAGCATTCTTCTTAATATACTTCTGTTTGATTTTTTATTACTTGAATACCAATATTCCAATAATAAAATATTCCTGGAAATGGAATGTTCTTTCGGTTATTAAGTCTTTAAATCTACTTCATGAGTGGAAACACAATGTAAAAGAAATGCTTCTGGGTTTAATATAGGTTCTGTAAAAATTTCTTCTTTCCTGTTCATTTTCTTTTAAAACCATTAATGCTCATAAACTGCATTATGTGTGTCTTCGATCTTTATTTATTAAAATATTTCAGTCAGGATTATTCATAAGCAACAGCTAAAATTTGATTTCCCAATATTGAAATTTTGAGTTTATGGTAGTCATATGCTTACATTTTTAAATATTTTTTTAAAGTTTTTAAAAATTATCTTTGTTGTCATTAGAAAAAAAATCCATACCTAAGTTTATTTGTATGAATGAAGCACTAAGCCCAAATTATGGCATTTAATTTAAATTTTAAATTGCACTTCGGACTTTTTTTCTTCCCATTTCTTGTGGAACTGGTAAATCTAAAAATATTGAGTGGAAAACAACATGTTGTTACCATTTCTGATTATTCTAATGAGTGATCTTCTAATACCAAAACACTGAAGCTTCACATAGATGTCTATGAACCTAAGCAAGCTATTTTTAAAATTGCTTTCTCTAATTATTATTGAATGCAATCACTAGACTCCTAAAGGGTCTTAAAACATACATCAGATATTTCATTCGTTCAACAGATGTTTATTGAACACCTGCTTTATACTAAGCTTTTCAAGTGCTAGGAGCTCTATTCCAGTTAAAAGTCGGAGGAATGACTAGTCGAGAGACAGATACATCCTGTATGCTGAGAAAAATAATGGAGAATGACTAGAGGGATGAGCGCACAGGTAAAGGAGTGCTCTGGCTTTTCAGTGTGATCAGGCAGCGTTTCCTTGGGGAAAGTACCAGCAGAAAGCAGGGAGCAAACTACCATAAAATCTGGGCAATATAGACAACGAGGACCGGGAGCAGCAAGAGGCCCAGTGTGCTCGAAGCAGACTGTGCAGGGCCAGTGGCAGGTGACCGCCTTGGGTGGAGCAGCAGTCCGCGGTGTCCTGGCCTCAGGGTGTTCTTAGCTCTTGTTCCGAACTAACTAAAATTCTGTTGGAGGGTTCACAGCAAAGGTGTCACGTGATCTGACGGAGGTTTTAGAAAAAATCACTCCTATTATGTTGAAAATGGATTGTAGATGGGCAAAGGACAGCTAGCAGACTGTTGGAATAACCCAGATAAGAAATGAGTAAGGTCTGTCAAATAATTACTTTATAATAACATGGGGAAATGAAACAATATAAGGAATCAAGTTATTTTTTTATCTTCAATAATTGCCAATTTGTGGCATTTTCTTTCCTTTTTTTTTCTTTCTTACAAATATAAGCTAATCTGACAGTCTCCTTTCACCAAAAATCACAACTTAATCCCACTGCAATCAAGCCTGTTCCAACTCAGAATAACCCTAAGTGGGAGAGTATATAATTATGTAGAATTTTATATAAGGAAATGTCTGGGAGGAAGGAAATGTAACTGCAAAGAATTAGAGCAAATGGAAGCACAAGCTAATACTAAATGCAAGCATCTTTTACAATTTGACTAATTCCTACCCAGCCAAAACAGACTTGTCTAAGAAGAGACCCTAGAGAAACCCATCAAACTAGTCTCTGTGGCCGTCTCATTAAATGCAGTAAGATTTCTTGTTGACCACATCCAAAAACAAACAACATCAACCCAAAAAAACCCAAATTTCTGCCATCAAGTCAATTCTGACTCATAATGTATGGAGCAAACAGCTTCAGCTCCCTCCCAAGGTGCAACTAGTGGGTTTGAACTACTGACCTTGTTGCTAGCAACCCAAGTTGTTTCCTGCTACACCACCAGAGCCCCTTGGCTGCTAGCTAGCCCTCACTCCCCACAATCGAAGCAATTCTGACTCAGAGTGAGCCTTTTGGACACAGTTGAACGGCCCCCTTTGCATCTTGGAGACTCGAAAATCTTTACAGGAGTGACAGCTTCATCTTTCTCACCAGGAGAGCTGGTGGTTTCCAACTACTGACCTGACAACTCACAGACTAACGTGCGCCACCAGGGCGCCTTGCTCCTGGCACGTTTGACAGCTCTTCTCCGCAGCTATAGCAAGTGAGACTGAGGAGGATGGCTCGCTAGATGGGAACACACGATCGCAGTTGTCTTCCTTGTGCTCGGGCCTGTAAAGTTGGGGTTGGGGATATCACTTGGAGGTCATAGTTACAAGGCAGAGACCAGTTCACATATCAGAGGTTCATATCACTTAACAGTTTATCAAAATGTTTGCTTTCAGAGACATCTGCTGTTGGGACCCAGAGAAAGCAATAAATAACGCCAATCTAACGTATCTTCTGTCTTGCCCTCCATGCTCTCTTCTTTTCTGCAAGAATAAACAGTGTGACAGACATGAAAATATGGAAAACTGCCATTGAGCTGTTCCATCTGCCTGGCATACTTCTCCCAGATGTCGCACGACTTTCACTCCTTTAGGTCTCTCATCAGATTATATCTTTTTAGTTAGAATTCCTCTCCCACATTCTTTAAATTGCAATCCATTCCTCCTACCCCATTTGTGGAGCATTTCTGGTCCCCATTCTTGCTGTATTTCACACTATATTACTTAGTACCATCAGCAATCTGATATATTTCATTATTGATTAAATTACTCTTCTCCCTCCAAAAGAATTTAATTTCATGAATGCAAGAAAATGAATCTGTTTTTTACATGCTGTATCCCCATAATTTAGGATGAATGAATATATGAATGTGTTCTGATTTAATTTATATCCTGGACACTCCCTCCCCCTTAGGCTCTGAGGCTTTGAGATGCTGTCAAACTAAAGCATCTAAAAACTTGCCATTTCTGACGCTCAGGAAAGCACCGTTTCACTGTTTAACTATGACGCTCACACTGAAAAAGGGTTTCCATCTTATCGTGCCAACGTCATCCTCTTAGCCTTTCCTAACTGAGAGCCAGCTAGTCTTACCTTCTCGTTTTTCTTCTTCGACAGGAAAAAAATTAACTGAAAACAAATGCCTATAAAATGTTAGTTTTCTTTTCCGTACTGTACCTTTTCATTGGCATTTCAGTCCTTCCCAAGACACCATCCCTTCCCAATGTCCCATCCTTGGGAAGGACATGAGATTAGGTAGTCTGTCTGTTACCATCCATGAAGATGTGCTTCTGACTAAGCATCTCAAGTGGAGGGGCGGTAAAAAAGACAGGCTCGTGACAAGATGGATTATCACAGCAGCTGCAACAAAGGGCTCACAGATAAGAACACTTGTGAGCGTGGAACAGGACTGGGCAGGGTTTGTTCTGTTTTACATTGGGTCGCTGTGAGTCAGAACTCCCTTGAAGCACCGAAAAACAGCACTGACCTAAAACGATGTCAGGAACTTTGGAAAACTCCTGTAAAGATATTATGGTACTCTCTCTTGTTCCCTGTTTCCACAGAAACAAATAAGTGAAATACCTAAAATATCTAAAACGTTATAGTAAATAAGTTTTTAAAAACCATGCCATAAACACAGGAGCACATTTTTATTAAAAAATATGCAACAGTGCATAAATTGTATACCTTCACTTTAATCCGTCACCATTTTTTACTGCTTGCTTAATTGAAATTTGTAATGGAATCTGTACACAGGAAGCATCACTGAACAAAAATTAAATATATCCCTAAAATCCAATTCCTTCAGGAACATATGTTATACAAAGGTTATCACTTTTGACTTGACATAATATAGTATGACGCTAATGACAGGTAACAAATTAGAATATTAATCGATTCCGGTCTCAGAACTAAATCTTGGCTATCTGGCAGATGTGTTTTTTGCAAAATTGATAGCAAACAGCTTTCGTCTGTCACTTGAAATTCCCACTTGTGAGAAGAGCAGTGTCATAATGGCAAGGAGTGTGCATGTCATTAGTTGGGTAATCCACACAGTCCAGCATGGCACATATTCAAACCAAATTGCCTGATGATATCATCCATAACACCACAGGGCTTAAAATTTAAAAAGGAAAGGAAATGGTAAATGCTGAGCATTTTTATCTTTCAGTTCATTCTGTACACTCTTATCTAAATGAAGCAGACAAGGCTTTTCAAAATGCTTCTTTATTTGGTACCTTTGATTTTCCTGTGACTAGGGCCATGGTTGGTTTGTAAAGCATGAACTTGTGCCATCCAAAGAGCTGTGATGAAGGTTTTGATATTTATGAGCTTCTTGAAGTAGAGTGTACCTTTCCGTAAGCACAGCAGCAAGCCAAGGAGCCACAACTTGAAGTCTTAGTCCAGAATCTGAGTGTGTGGGATAAGAGTAATTGTCTCATTCATGTGGAAAAAGGATTAGATAGATGGTGGAAAACAGGTATTAAAAGCACAGAATCTAGATGCTGAGTGTATGAGTTCAAATCCCAGTTCCACCACATACTAGTTATGACCTTGGCACATAACATGATCCTTCTTTGTATTAGTTTCCTCACGTACAAAAATGGTGTCGTGACTATGCATTGGGCTGTGATCCACACTGTCGGCAATTGAAGCCACCAGCAGCTCCACAAGCGAAAGATGAGGCTTTCTGCTCCCAAAGCCATTGCAATCGCAGAAACCCGCTGCGCTTGTCACTGGCAGTCAGCACGGACGCAATGGCTGTGAGGTTTTTTCGTTTGGTTGTTTGGGCTTTTTTGGATAATAAAAATACATTAGAGTGTTGTTAAGTAAAGGCTCAACACATCTGAAGTGCTTAGCAGTGTCGGGCACAAAGTACGAATGTTGTAAGTGTTCACTATTTCTAAACTCAAGCTGTGTTATTTTAACAAGTCTATTTAGAGGCTAGAAAACCTGCTATTCAGGTCACCTAGATTAAGACAGTTCTT